GTTACGTTACGTTACGTTAGTTACGTTACGTTACGTACGTAGTTACGTAGTACGAGTATAGAGAGAGAGAGAGAGAGAGANNNNGAGAGAGAGAGAGAGAGGCCTCACATTCAATACTAGGAGGTAGAGAGTCTGAGAGAGACAGGGGCCTCGCATCGAACACTTGGAGGTCATCGTCTTTGTTTTCTTCTTCTTACATGTAAAGGAGCATTTGTGTCTATGTGGATCTATGCATGTGTGAGAGAGGGAGAGGCTGTGCATCAAACAACTTGGAGACCATCTTCTCTTTCTTCTTCTCATATGTAGAAATCACACATGGGCTAGAGATAGAGAGAGAGAGAGAGAGAGAGAGCCCAGGCATCTTGAACTTTTTTAGGGGTGGCACTAGGTGGGCCCTCAGATTTGCTTAGGCACCTGCTTAGGCGGGCACCTTAGGCATGCTCGCCTAGACCCACCGCCTAGGCTAGACCTAGGTGGGCCGACTTTTCATCATGCGATCCTAGTGCCTAAACTTGATGTGCTTATCATCAATGGTTTATTTTATTTTGTTACATTCTTAGAATCAAGTCATCCTTTCTTTCTTCAGTTATCCAATCATTGTATGCAAATCGTTTCCATGAATTGCTAGGGAATAAGAAATTCTTCATCTGGTTTGATATTTTATCATGTGACACATCACTAACATTTTGGCACGTTTGACACCTTATAACACTTAATATCCTAGATACATTTCTTTGATAGTTGTAGTTATAGATGTTGCAATATTTATATGACTACGTTAATGTTTATATCATAATATTGTTTTTTACCTGTATCTTTTATATATGAATAAAGTTTTAAGGAGATACAAGTTTCTTGCATATCATAATATATACAACATATATGCATACCTATTACATCTAGGAATTATCTTATAGAACATTAAAAAGAAGTTAGCGAAATTGACAATCGTGCTTTATGTTATTATGTTATTAATGTGTTTTGTCAAAACTATTGCACGCTTTCATTGCTTAATTGTTGATCTATTTTGTTTTGTCAAGTCACGATCATCTTTGCAGTTTTTTTGTTGTTGGATTGGACCGTTGTGTACGCAAAAAGTTTAATTCTCAATTTTATATATTTTTTCGAATAGCATTTTGTAGTTTCTATATGCGTTTGCAAGCATGCTTACACATTTATGCTTTTTTGACATACACTTTTGATTCTATAAATTGGCTTTATAAATGTTATATAATAAATTTATTTCCTTTTAGATCTGGTCGAGAAAGTGACAGTGATGCTGAAGACCTTGAACACGCTGAAAAGCTTCGTCAAGTCAAAGCAGTACTTGAGGAGGTTCTGTTTAGTTCATGCTTTGGATAACTTTTGATGTATTTATAATTGTGAAGATGAATTTTTTATGATAAATCCTGATATTTATCTCCTTGTTATCGTTTGTTGCTCTAGTTTCTGCTTGACACATTGAGCATATGAAATTATTGGCGTGAAGTTTGTCTAATATAAAAATACTTCTATCATCATCATCATTATTATTATTATTGTTGTTGTTGTTGTTGTATGATCATGTGACACTTGCTGTTCTCAAGGTCTTCTCGTTATCTTTTGATGAGACTTGATTTATTGGACTTGGAAGTAACATTTCTTTTAGTTTTAGTACACTCGGAATCAAATGTGATCAAGAAAAACTCCAAAAACTTATTTCTTTGTTTTCTAAGCAGTCATTTCATTCATTTGACACAATTGCAAGTATCAAATCAATTTGTGTGTTTTATTTCCTTGGCTGCAAATTTTTGTCTGTTAGCAAACAAATTTATGTGCTGATGATTTTTTGAATGGTGATTTTGAAGGAGAACTTCATCTAAAACAAGCTAAAGGTTACAATATTAAAAAAGCTAGGTGGTAAGGTATGTCAATTTTAAGAAGTCTTGTTGAGGCTGAAACAAGCACCTCTGGATTCTGAAGCATTAACCAAATATGATGTTTGACATCGAAAAATGGGAGAAGCAAGTTCTCTTCTTTGTCTGTCATGAGATGTTAATTTGGTTGACCTCAGACATGGGAGCTTGAGTTTTGGTATTTCTCTTCATGTACTCACATTTTCTATTTTTACGTGTTTGGTGGGTCGTGAAGCGCATGGTTCATGTTTGCATGTATTGCACTTGGATTAACATGGATGGCTTATCAGCTATGGCTAGGTTAGTCATCGGGTACTACATCTTTGTGTAGCTTGCTTTGGTCATGCGTGCATTGGCTAATCTAGCAAACATAATTGTTGGTGGTAGGATGAGTATTGTTTAAATAGAGGCTTTCAACCTTATGATGCATGGATTCTTTTGATGGGTTTCCATCATTCTTTATGAGTTAAATTGATTTGTTCCTTAAAGAAAGAACTCAAATGTTACGAGTCTCAGTTTTGTAGCAATTACATTGATCAATCACTTGGACCAAGAGGCTTTCTTTGGATAGAGTGTCTGCAATGTCATGAATGTGTCTCAATGTCCTATTTCATTTATGTCTTAAGGGTTTGGTCTTTTGCATTAGCTTATTTATTAACCTGATCATATTCATCACCATGTCAGACACATGCTTAAATCATACGTTTGTTGGGTTGCCTGAGGAATGTGATGAATCACAAGAGCTTTTCTTGATGCCTACGAATGCAGTACCTTGTTTTAGTCAATATATGACTTTATTGAGATGAGACGTAAAACTGATAAAATCTAGCTACTTAGGGCTCAAGAGAATCATTTATACTTCTTCTAGATTAATTTTTAGGAAATCATTTTTGACCAACAACTTGGTGGATACCTCGCTTGCTGGAAAGTTTTCAGTGTAAACTTGAGATGCTACTTCCCAATAACTGTGCAAGTTCTAGTTTGTAAACATTAGAGATACAACACATGCTTGTGTGATTCCTTTACAAGTTTTGTCATTCTCAATTACTTGAATCTGATGTTATCGTGAAATTTGTTCCCATTAGCCACTGTTTGAGCTTTGTAAATATTAGAAGTCAAGTACTTGTTCTTGCTCCTAGTTTCTTTTGACTTCGAAGATATTTCCTTCTCTTATGTTGTTCTGCTATATATCTTTTGAGGTGCTTCTGAATTCTCACAGCTATAATCAAGTTTTATTGGGTGTCTCGTATGCCTTTGTTTAATCTGTTGAACATTGGTTGCCATTCCTTTTAATATAGTATTCTACATTGATCAAACAATTCCTGTTAATGTAGCAATTTATACTGATCAATAAGCTCAGAACAATAATGCACTGGTATTATATTGATAAAGGAAAGTGGCTTCTGCTGAGATTCCATGAATTGATGCAGTCGGGTGAAACTTATAGTTAAGTTAGAGAGGTATTAACTTCATGAAATACTTGTTCCTACCACTGTTATTGCCCAATCCTGGTGGGATTTAATATTTGGTTCGTATATGATGTTTTTGATTGTTTGATATTCCTGTCAGATTTGACATACTTATTTTGGGAACACTTTGAAAGTAGCAGCAGCAACATTTTTTCATTGCTCAAGAAATTTCATTCAAGGGATGATTTATATAATTCTTGGTGGTTGCCAGGGTGGGCATTTTTCTGGTATTTATAGGAAAGTACAGCTAAAGCCATTGAAGTGGATCAAGGTCCCGAAGGACAATGGTGATGGTGAGGAAGAACGCCCTGTTGAAGCGTTGATGGTTCTTAAATACGGGGGTGTTCTCACCCATGCAGGCAGGAAGCAGGTGATTTAGTCGTCGCTAAATTGTATTTATTTCATAGCATTAGAAGTTCTCTTGATATTTTGGTGTTTATCAGACACATGAAGTGGTCATCTTGGATTTGATACATTTCATGTGAATCGTAATAGGGTTTTCTATACCCGGCGAGTTGACTTGGAACCGCTTGAGTCATCTAAGATCTGGCAGGTTTGTAAGCCGGTTCGAATATGAAATTCTCCTAGTCGGCCCGATCACGTTTTTCGGGAGATAAGTTGATAAAATGAATGAAAAACAAAATTTGATCGTTTTTTTGGGGACCTTTTTGGATCAAATGTTCTCTACAAAAAATCCTCCAAATCACTCATTTGATCATTAGTCCATCAATTTTTTGATAGAAACAATATTAGGTTTTTGATTTTAGTGGGGTTTTAGGATCAAAATTTCATGTTTCTTGAAATCTGCCATTCCTTCTTGTTCTCCCTCAAATCTCTACCAAAAAATTGAAATTTGTTTAAAAATATTGGTAATTGAGCCTACTAGCAAATCCCAAGAGTAATCAGTTGAAAATTTTTGATTTAAGGTTTTCAGGGCCAAATTTTAGGTTTTTTGACCCCTAAAACCATAATCCATCATTCCTTGTTGTTGTCGCTCAACTATCAAACCAAAAAATTCAAAATTTGTTTCAAATTGTTGATAATTGAGACTTGTCGCAAGTCAAGCGAAGAAAACGAGACGATGCGAGTGCGAGAACCAAGCAACGGAGAGCGCCCTAGCGTAAAAGCCGTTGCGCAGTAGCGCATATGTTTTCTTGCTGGGTAAAAAAGCAAAGCAACGAATGCAAGTAAGAAAACGGATGCGCGACGTTAAGATCCCAATAGCAAAGATTTAGATAAATTAGTTCGAAACATATTGAATTCGGTATGTTTCTGTATTCGAATTTTAGGTTTTCTGAGACTCGAAACCCTAATCTGCCATTCTTTGTTCTCTCTCTTATCTCAAGCAGCTTGACATTTGCTTCAAATTGTTTGTAATTGTCCTGAGTAGCAAAGCTTTGTAAATTTTTTGGATTTTTTACAAAATTTGAAGAGATCTACGCTCAGTTTTTTTGACAAAATGCCTCAAATATATGATTAAATTTTCTTTCGATGTAAAGAATTAATATTATGTTCAATTTTGTTATTTTTCTGCTCTAGACTTTGTTAGAATTGATTTAATTTTTTTTTTTTAATTTTCCCTCTTATTTCTAATGAAATTAAATATTATTTTGCTCGGTTCTCTAAAGTGAGAACAAAGAAAATATCAAACGAATGGAGGAAAAGTACTATGGTATCTATTTACGAGAACAAAGGAGACATACAAAGTTGTGCAAATTTCCGATGGATCAAACTTTTGCCCCACACTGAAACTGGAGAGAGTGATTAACCAATGACTAAAACATGAAACAAGTATATTAGAAAATCCATTCTGATTTCTTAGTGAAAATAGGTGCGACAATACTCATGATCCACACTATGAAACTATGGGAGAGAGTGATTGAACATTTGTGTCCTCTAGGGCCTTTCCCTAGCCCTTTTAGAGCCGTCCACTTGATTTAGATAAAACATATGATAGGGTACCTTGAGAGATAATTTGGTGGGTGTTAGAAAAGAAAAGAGTCTCAAAAGGAAATATTGACATGGTTAGGGATATGGATGAGGCAGCAGTAACTAGTGTGACGAAAACTAGTGGCGAGACAAGTGAGTTTTCAGTCATAGTAGGCCTACATCGGGGGTTAGCTTGAGCTCAAATATCTTTGCTTTGGTTTTGGACGAGTTAATTAGGCATCTATAAGATAAGGTTTGTGGTGGATGTTGTGTACGAATGACATAGTTTTGATGGATGAGACTAGAGATGGCATAAACACAAAGTTGGAACTGTGGAGGATGCATCAGAATCAAGGTTTTAACATTAGCCGGATTAATACAATTAGTTGAGATTGATGACCAAGAAGTGATTAAAAAAGTTCATTTTCAATATCTTGGGTTGATAATCATGAGAAAGGAGCAATTGATGAAGATGTTACTCATAGATTTGGAGCTGGTTAGACGAAATGAAGATGTGCTGCTAGAGCCTTATATGATCATTGCATACCAATAAACCAAAGGGGAAGTTATAGGACGGTTGTAAGACCAGCTATGCTTTATGGAATGAAATGTTGTGTTGGGGTTGTAGCCTTTCAAGGCCTGACACTGATGTTTTTTATGGTTCTTAGTTTAAGTGGGAGTGATCGAGAACATGTGATTTGCTGGATCTGTGTGAACTTGAATTGAGTTGGTGTCCATAGAGTCACTAAAACCTCGGATCATGAGGCTCAGTTTAGGGGGGGTTATACCGAATAGGGTTTGACGGTTATCTTGGTTATGGTTAGTGAGATCACCTCGTGATTGGTTGGAGCTAGTGCATGATATTCCTAATTGATATGTTTCTGTGAGAATTGTTAAAATGTGGATCAAGATATTGGTATGAGACACTGTGATTTTTGTGTCGAACCTTGTATGATAAGGATCGGCTCCGAGGACATGAGCCAAATCCTTGATATTGACCTTACTCACAACTTGTGCATTTGACAGTAGCAAAATGGGAAGCAGCTCTAACTCAGGTTGGAACCTGTGCCAGAGACAATACCCCCACATCTCGAGTGTGTCCTCAAGGGTCTACCTGCAATCCACTATAAAAATCTTGGAGCTAGTCATCTATTGGGTTAACTTTAATGAGCCAAGCATGAGCCCTAGCCAGAGATTGTGGGACATGGGCCTTGTTGAGTTAATTTCGAGAAAGTGATCGTTGGTTCCAATCTAGCCGAGTGGAGTGCCCAAACAGTTTAGAGAAATTTCGAAAGGATCCTAATTTCCCAAAGGAGTATTTTTTTATGGCCAAGAATTACTAAGAAATGATGAAAAATATTGAATATAATTTTTGAGGATTTTTATATATTTCTTGGAATTTTGTTTTGGGGTAAATTTCTCTTGAAAATAAATTGTTTCAAGAAGTTCCACTTGAGGACAGTCCTCCATGGCCCAAATGGCCAATGGGCCCCATTGGGTTGTCCACATGGCTGAGGACATTAGCTAGTAGGTGGGACATCCCCCTTTGTGGGCATTTATGGCATTTTGTGAATTGTTTATAAAATTATGCACATGTGTAGGAATTTCACATGTGTTTGCTTTGGTTTTTATATCTTGATATTTTCCATGAAATGGAGAGCCTAAGCCAATCAAATCCTAGATCTAAAAGGTCTTTATTTTGTGTTTATCTCTCATTGCTGACATGTGTGAAGGTATGACATGAAGTGTGTCATATAACACTATGTGTGTCTTATGACATACGTGTGTGAAGGCCAAGAGGTGCTGAAAGAGAAAGCACCTTGGTTTTGAATTTCAAATTTTGGTTTCTAGAGAGAGAAGAAATGTGTAGAAATTGACGGACATACTCTTCACTTGATTTTTACCTCATATATTTATATAAAAGCATGGGCAATTATGAAATTGGAATTCATGAATTTATGGAATTAAATAAACTAGGAAATTTGGAGTTGTTCTCACACATGTGGGCATAAAGGTGGTGAATCTCAACGACACATCTATGATAGCCAGTGATGTGATTAAATTGCTAGGTTCACGCCTCTTTCAAATCCATAGACACCCTGAGATCTAAATATAAATGGTCCACATCTAATCTAGGATTAGGATGCAAGGCATCTCTTAGGTATGTCCTATTTATACCTCATGAAACCTGACTCACATTGTTCTCTCTCCAAGACACTAAGAGACCCCAATGTGAGACCATTTGAGGGCTGAAGAAACCCTAACATGAAGTATAAGGTATGCCGATGGAACCCCATTGAGATGCATACTATGCCTATAAACCCCCAACATCACGTATATGGATGCTTAAAGAAGGTCATCGTGAGCTTCATTTCTGAAAAATCTAAGGGATGTTCTTTGAGAGAGAGAGACAGAGAAATTAACAATGCTAGCATGCTGCCCCTCTCTCACGGAGATCATGAGCGCCATTCTTGGTGCTATGATATGGGATCACCTTGGTGTATACTATTGATAAGAAAAACCTCATGAGCCCCTCAACTCTTGCTGCCTATTCCAATTTACAGCAAGGTAATGTCATTCTTTGATCTATTTGATTAATGTTTCGTGGCTATTGCTCTAGATTGAATAGCCTACATGCCTAGCACATACGGTCATTTTGGCACCATTTTGATCTTGCTTGTCCCATTTCATGCTGGCTGAATTTTCTGCATTCTCCACTTGGAAACTAGCTTGTTTTTGAGTTCTCTCTTTATTCCCATAACTTTGAATATTAAGGGGTTGCTATGGCGAAATTCGTTCTCCCATACTAGTGAGCATTGTCCCACTGCCTTGGCCTTTACTATGCACCATACTTCATCTATCTCAATTTTGAATCTTTGATTCATGAAAACGTCTTTATCATATTTTATGTATTTCATCTTGTTTTGGAGCTTGCAATCCTATTGTATTGCTGCACATAAATCTCTAGATTAGATTGGACTATATTTCTTTCGCTATTGGAGTTGGGTGATCATATATGGATTGTAACTAAGACCCTCACTGGCAAATTTATGATCTACGATTGGCTTCCCATAGTCTTGAGACTTTGTGCACAATTTGGTTGTTGTTATTCTATATGGAGATTGGCACTTCAATGGGTTTATGTGTATGTTAAAATGATGTATTTGAAAGTCCTTATGTGTATGGGGATTTCTTGTGTTATGGGCTATGTAATGTTTGTATTTAGCCAATTTCCGTGTGTTGTTGAATTGAGTGAAACAAGTAGTGGACCAATTGATGAGTTTATGTTGTATTATTTGGAGTGTTTATATACATGAATTTCGTGTTGAATGTCACCACATGTTGCTGTAATTTGAATTAATGAATGTATTTAATGAGATTCGGTCGAAAAATTTTTATATTGTGTTGCCTTAGACTCGGTTTCTTGACACCTTGACATCTTGGGTTAATGAACAACATTTCCATATAATGAGTGTAGCTGAAATGAGGATGTTGAGATGGATAAGTGGCAAGACAACGATAGAATTTGAAATAAATGTGTCTCCAATAGGTGATAAAATGATGGAAAGTAAACTTGGATGGTCGTTTACAACGTTAACCTAGAGCAACAGTAGTTAGGAGGAGTGATTTGGTTCAAGTGGAAGGTTGTAAAAGGGCTGGAAGTAGTGAGAAAAGATATGATGACTTATAGTTTGACTTAGGGTAGGGCCTTGATATAGCGGAATAGTAGAACAAGATTCATGTAGTTCACCCCAAATACTTACGATAAGGCTTGGATGTTGATGCTTTGGATTTTTGATATTTTTTTTGTAAGTATTATATTTAATTTCCTTTTTATTCTAGATTGCGTTGGATTATTTTCAATTAGTTTTTCTGTATTTTTAATAAATCGGATTTTTTGCTTGGCTTTGTTATGTTCTTGAGAAAAAGCTTGTTTTAATTTTTTTCAATTCAATTTTTTTAATTTCCTTTTTCTTGGATAATCAACAATTAAATATTGTGTTCTCTTTATTAGTCTTTACTCATGAGCATTGTGCATTTGCACATTTCAAATTGTGAAATGACTTTGTTTCAGTTAGGTGGGAACCATGCTCTTGGTATTCATACTCTTTCGACAATTTCATCAAAGTAAATAACGTATTTGTCAATCTTTTATTTCACAAATCAATTCATTTTGATTTTTAAAATCTTTTGAAATTTTTTTCAAATTTTTTTAAGAGCTCAGTGTTGCCAAACCAGTCGGAGATACCTTGTTCATGTTGGAATTATGGCCTTTCAAGGCTTTAAATGCAATATCCCTCACTCAATGGGAGTGAGAGACAAGATGATTCGAGGTACTTAGCGCACTGAGGCCTAGAATTATTTACTTTAAGTCCATGACACAATGAGAATACAGGTGAGAGGGACAAATTGCTTTTAGAGGTGTGAGATTCACCTTTAGGTCAAGGATATACTTAAATTATATGCCTCATAGGTTACATTTTGGCTAAGGCTAAGAGAGGACCCCGGTATATATGTCCCCTGAGGTGCATCTGTAATCCACTGACACCCTAGAATGATGTGATTGAGATGACTTTGATAAGACATATTATGTGCCCCTGCCATAGATTGTGAAGCATAGGTTTGTTGGGTCATTCTAAGAGAATTGACCATCATTCTGGACTATTCCAGTGGAGTACTCTGATAAGTAGATTTTAGAGATCTTGTTTACGTGTTATCTAATTTTATTTTGATGCCATAATGAATATTTTTGATGGAAAATGATTTATATAATTTTTGAGAAATTTTTAGACGTTTTTTGAAAGTTTTTTCGGAGCAAGGAAAAGGGATTTTTGAATTTATTTAAGGAAAATTCCATTTGAGGACAACTACTGGGGGCCCCACATGCCACCCAAGTGGTCATAGGGTGACACAGGCACCCCATGGGACCCGTAAGCAGTTGACATCAGCATGACATCAGACCTCATAAGAGTGTTGTTCTTGGGTATTTGTGTATTTGTCTAGATGTGTTTTATAATTTTTTAAATGAGAAAATAGTTCTATAACTTAAGTGAATTATTTAGTCACATGTTTACTTTGACACTCATGTAGCCTCCTTTTATAATGTTTTTAATGAGAAAATAGTTCTATAACTTAAGTGATTTATTTTGTCCCATGTTTAATTTGGCACGCACGTAGCCTCCTTCACATGCGTCTAGGGTTTTGGAAATGCCATGAAATTATGATTTCAACCCTGATCTATGGTTGGAAATGATATTTTAAAGTTCCTTTTTGTGTTTCGCCACAACCCACATGAAACTTTTGAAATGGCTAAATTCTATTATTTGGAAGAAAGATATTTTGACAATTACAAGAGGAACACTCGCCTCCCGTTTGTTTTTTAATGATTTTTAATAGTTAAGAATGGGCATTTTTGGTATGCTTAAATGGTGTATGTGAAATTTGTTGAAAACTTGAGACAATGTGGTAAAATCGCCTAATCTAGGGTTTTTAATGAGTGATAAGGGTGTGATATCTAATCCCTCAGTCTGTATGGCTAGATAAGGATGAGTTGTTAGGATCAAAGTCCTCACACGTGCTATGGATGATGAGCCTTAAGGGCTTTGATCAATTCACTTAAAATGTCTCACCTGAATTTGCCTATAGATAGCCCCCCTTGGTCTCATTTCAAAACACCTCATAGCATACTTCGTGAGAGAAATAGAGAGATTAGAGAGAGCCTCCACGCTCCACTCTCTTCTTCCTTCCTTCTTCTTCCCATTTCTGAGCAAAATATATGTGGCCATTAAAGCATTCTCCCATGGTGTTTAAGTTATTTGGTGCTCCACAATTAAGGAAACTTCCATAACCTTTAATCTTTTCATTTGTAGATTATTTTCTTCATCTTTTCTTTGTTGTAAATCTCTGATTAGAGTAGCTCTTCTATGCTGTTATGCTTGACTATTCATGATTTCTAAGTCCCTTGTGAAACTGGGATACCATGATATGGGCATAATCTAGTTTATTACTTTACTCCTAGACACAATTTTCTTCATCATTTTGATAACCTGATTTCTCTGAGATATTTTGGATATATCAGCAAGCATTTGATATCCATTTCAGTACTATATAATTGGTGCTTGATCCTAGAGTATTTCTCTTATTTGTTTTCTTAAGTTTTTGGCTATACTCTCACATAGTATAAATTGTTTATACCTGAATTTTGTTCATTGTTTTCATCATCAAAAGTTCATCTCTCTCTCTCTCTCTCTCTCTCATTTTCAAGTTAATCGTGTGGTTTGCATAAGCTTCCTGCTTCATATGTGTGATAAGTCCATGTGTTGTATAGCCATTCGTGCTACCATCCATAGGACAAAATTAAGACCCTAAATGGTCTGGTTATGTGATCTGGCCACAAATGGTTCGACTATTGGCCTCTCTTCAATACTTTTGCACTTATTTGCTGTAACTTTGATTTTATTAATAATTTATGTCATCAAGAGTTGATTATGTAATGTTTGGAGTAAGTTTATGTTGATGAGAAAAGTGTATGTGTAGTCTATGTAGGTATGAATGTGTTAAGTGGTGTGGTTTACTTCTTCTACATGAGCAATGTGTTGTTTCTATGACTTCGGGACTCCATATAGTTGTAATTCTTTCATTTTTTAGTGATATTTGAATCTTTGTAAGTTCAAATTTGTGACTGTAACAATGAGTAAGAGTTGTGGAATCTTGTATTTGAAAATGTTGCTTACAAAATCTTAAGTTGAGTGCCAAGTTTAAGTGCTTTATAAAGCAGTTGCTAGACTCTATATCATCTTCAGTTGACTGGGAAACGGTGGTTGGCTTCTGTATGAGCAATGTGGTGTTTCTATGACTTAGGGACTCTAAAGAGTTGTAATTCTTTCGTTTTTATTATATTTGAGTTTTTGTAAGTCAAAATTTGTGGTTGTAATAGTGAGTAAGAGTTGTGGAATAATGTATGTGAAAGTGTTTCTTGTAAGTTCAAGTTTAAGTGTTTTATAAAGCAGTTCCTACACTTTATATCATCTTCAGTTGACTGGGAAACAGTAGGTGATTGTTTGGCCACCCAATTCGGTTTTTTAAACAATGCCTTGTGGTCTTTTCTTGTTCATGAAAGTGTTATGTTACATCTATTGCATTGTACAACTTTATTGATTCTTTAGTATTGAACTATAACGTAATTGCTCTCATGGTTGTTCTTTTTCAGGCGGAAGAACTGGGAAGATATTTTAGAAACAATATGTATCCAGGTTTGAATTTTAACATCTTGCTCTATCATTCGTCCTTTTTCTGTTTAAACCTGTTAGATTAAGGTATTTGTTAACTGCCCTACCAAACCTTGTAATTTTGACTGCAAAACTAAAAAGAAAATGGAGAAAAATATTGAGTTACTGATATAATTTTGAGTAGCAGTCACTCATTTTTGGACCTACCATTGCTGCTGCTTGGAACTGTTTGACTCTGGCCCTTCAAGGACTTCTCCATTGAGTTTCTATGCATTCTTCAAGTGCCTTGGGGTCGCAAACATGATAATAGTTTTTTTTTGGGAAAGTTAATTTTGTATTATTGAGAAGTGATAGATTACAGAGATAAGATCATCCAAGAGCACCCTCATGGCATGTCTCTCGGTAAAAAATGCGTCAACCAGCTATGTACAAAAAATGGCTTTATAGGTTCTGCCCGATTACAAAGATTTACAAGAAGTTTTCAAAAAATAAACCAGGCCAGATAGATTTGCTCCAATACGAAAACATCTATGTTGTGTGCCTGTGGTCCAGAACAAAAAAGGAGTAGGACCGGGCGTGTTCTTCTAAATTCTAGCTCCCTCTTTCGCCATGAGATCTGCGAGCTTGTTGGGCGTCCTCCAGATATGCTTCCAAGAGACATGATAGTATTTCTTTATAAGTTGTGAAATTTTTATATTGTGGACACTATTGTGAATAGTGCCATGAATAGTACTTTTAACCGTGCTTTAAACAATACCATGAATAGTAAAAAGTGTCAAACTAGAGAGAAAAGATAAAGAGGAGGAAAATAAAGAAAGAAGATAGAAGAAATGAACAAAAAGAGAGGAGAGAGTGATATGGGATTCAGTCACCCTATGCCCCACTAATATCTTTATTTATGTTGCATGTTTAGGGTTTATAAAACATAAAAATACCCTCAATGAAAATAAGTATCTTAAAATATAGAAAAATGAAAGATTGGCCTCAATACTTAAAACAAGTTGTTCTTTAACACTCACCCTTAAGATTGATCATAGATATCACCCATAAACCACTTGGAACAAATCTGCTGAGTTTGGTTATGACTAAGTTCCTTGGTTAATGTCAGCCATTTGATCTAATGACTTCATCACATATGAGTTTGTTATTTACCTGCTGGTCACTTTCTCATGCATCAAGTGGCAATCCACTTCAATATGTTTTGTTCTTTCATGAAAAACTGGTTTGCTTGCAATATGAATGGCTGCCTGGTTGTCACATAAAATCTTCATTGGTTCAATAAAAACCCATTTTTTGCATCTTGGTTTCAGCCATATTAACTCACACGTAGTATGAGCCATAGCTCTACACGTAGCCTCTATATTAGATCTGGCCACCACATTGTGTTTCCTCCTTTTCCAAGTTACCAAGTTTCCTCCAATAAAGGTGCAGTAGCCCATAGTAGATCTTCTATCTGAAGTTGATCCTGCCCAATTGGCATCAAAATAACTCTCATTGTCAAAGTGGCCATTCTTTTTGTAGATGAATCCTCGGCCTGGGGCTTCCTTCAGGTATCTCAAAATTCTTCATTCTACTTCCTAATTTGGTGCTCTGGGAGTCATAAATTGACTTACTACACTCACAACAAAGGTTATATCTAGTATGGTGCTTGTCAGTTACATAAGTCTACCTACAATGCTTTTATATCTGCCAAGATCTTCTAGTGAGTTTACCTGACCCACTGAAAGTTTGGAACTTGGATCTATGGGTGTATAAACCAGTTTAGCACCTAACATCCCTATTTCTGTTAGTAAATCAGTTACATATTTTCTTTGGGCTAGACTAATACCATATTGTGACCGAGCTACTTCAATCTCAAGAAAATACTTCAGTTGCCCCAATTCTTTTGTTTGAACATACGGTTGCAAATAATTCTTAAACTTTTGAATTCCTTCTTGATCCCAAGAAAATTATTTCTTGAAAAATCCCCAAAATAACTTGCAAAGCAAGAAGGGAATGCAGTCCAAAACAAAATTAAGACTTTCTTTTATTTTCTTTATCAATCTCCCCGGGTTCAAAAGAATTTGTCCTCAAGGTTGTACATGCAATGGACTCCTCAAGGGCTTTTGGATTAATCTTCGTCAATTCTTCTTTAGAAATCCACGAATTCCCCACATCGGGCTTGCCCTTCCACTGCACTAAATATTGACTGTAATTCCCTTGGTGGATATAGATGATGCGGCTGTCCAAGATCCTTTCTACGTTGTCCCCCTTTCGCTTAGGCAGATGTGCTTTTCAACTAGCATCACCTTCCACATCAATGTCCTCTTGATACTCATAGTGGTTGGAAATGTTGAAAATAGGAAAAATTTCATATCCTTCGGGAAGCCTGACCTTGTAGGCATTGTGCCCCATCTTTTGAAGCACTCGACAATGACCAATCTTGGTATATTTAAGCTTATGGTAAGTGCCTCTTGGGAAGCGTTCATGCCTAAGGTACACCATTGCCAAGTATCTACTTCAAAGGTCTTTTCACGTCGGTGTAATTTGGCATCAGCTTTATACTTGTAATATCTCTTTTGTAGTCTTTCTCAAACTTGTCCATGGAGGTTTTGAATGTGCTCAACTAAAGTTTTCACATCATTTCTAGCTCGCACTCCTTCGGGCAAAGGGACTAGGTCAAGCACCTTGCTTGGTGAATGACCACACCACCTCAAATGGAGCTTTCCCTGTGAACTGATTAGGGGAACTGTTGTAGGAAAACTCTGGCCTGAGGTAAAATTCGATCCCATTGGAAGGCTTGTTCTCGGCAAGGCTTCTGAAGAAATCTCCAAGGCTGCAGTTGACGACCTTTGTTTGGCCGTTAGTTTGAGGGTGATATGCATTGCTATACTGCAGTTTAGTGTCTAACCTTTTCCACAAGGTTTTCCAAAAATGATTCGCAAATCTTGTGTCTCGGTCTAAAGTGATGGTCTTGGTCGAAAGTGATGGTCTTTGGCATACCATGACGGCATACCACCTCCTTAAAGAAGAGATCAGCCGCTTGAGTCACATCTAAAGTATTTTGGCAAGGGATGAAGTGGACTATTTTAGAGAACCTATCTACCATTACAAAGATAGTCACACCCTCTCAAGGTGTGGCCTAGTCCTATCGCAAAGTCCATACTCACATCTGTTCATAGTCAACGGGGGATTTGTAAGGAAGTATAAAAAAAGGTGTTTAGATCGACCCTTCGCCAACTGGCATACTTAGCAACGCTCGACGAACCGGTTGACATCTCTCTTTAGTTTGGGCCAAAAGTACTTTTCTTGCACGAGGCTGTGGTCTTTTGACTCTTATCCCTCCCAAAGTGACCACCAAGGTTGTCACCATGCATCTCACCCAAGATTTGGATGCGAAGTGACCCCTCGGGAATGCAAAGCTGATTCCTTTTGAAGAGAAAGCCATCATGTAAAACAAAAACAACACATGTTTCCCTTTCTCCTTGTGCAAGTTTCTCAAGGATCTCAGAGCAGTAAGGGTCGTTAGTATAAGTTTGAGGTAGGGACTCAAAACCCACAACTGAGGTGGCAAAAGTACTAAGGAGGTGACATCTCCGGCTGAGGGCATTAACCACTTTGTTTTGACTATCTGATTTGTGGCGGATTACGAAAGTGAACTGTTGTAACTAAGAGACCTACTTAGCATGCCTATGATTCAGTTTCTTTTGAGCACTCAGGTACTTCAAAACTTCATTACCTGAGAATAAGATAATTCTCTTTGCATGAGGTAGTGCCTCCCATGTCTTAAGGCTTGAGCCACAGCATAGAACTCCACATTAGAAGTAAAATAATTAATCTTTTCCCCACTCAGTTTCTCGCTAAAGAAGGCCATGGGTCTACCCTCTTGACATTGGACACCTCCAATTCCCAACTTCGAGGCATCACACTTCACTTGGAAGACCTTTTAAGAGTCTGGAAGTGCAAGGTCAGGAGCACATGTGATCCTTTCTTTTATCAATTTGAAGCTGTTTTCAGGAGATAAAGTCCACTCAAACACCCCTTTCTTCATGCATTAAGTTATAGGTGCTATTATGCTGCTGAAGTTTTTGATAAACCTCCTGTAAAATGTTGCTAAACCATTAAAACTTCTCTACCTTAGTCACTGTTTTGGGTTTCTGCCAATCTACAATGGCTTGTACTTTGGTTGGATCCATCTTGACCCCTTCACATGACACCATGAAACCAAAAAATACTAAGTAAAAAATGAACATTTTTTGAGGTTTTCAAATAAATTTTCTTTTTGAAGGACCTCCAACACCTGCTGTAGATGTAACAAATGTTCATCAATGCTTGCACTATAACTGAGGATGTCATCAAAATGCACCACTACAACTTGCCAATGAATGGGCGGAGCACTTGGTTCATTATTCTCATGATAGTGCTTGGGGCATTAGAGAGCACAAAGGGCATGACCAGCCATTCATATAAGCCTTCTCGCGTCTTAAGCACAGTCTTCCACTTCTCTCCAGGCCTTATATGAATCTGGCGATGGCCACTTTGCAACTCAAATTTGGAAAATACCCTAGATCCTGATAACATATCATGCATGCAATAAAGTCGAGGGAGTGTAAAACAGTATTTGATTGTGATTTTATTAATTGCTCTACTATCAACACACATTCTCCATGATCCATTTTTCTTTGGAGTTAACAAGGCGGGAACTGCACATGGGCTCATGCTCTCTTGTATCAAGCCTTTCTCCAACAACTCTGTTACTTTCCTATGTAGCTCCTCGTGTTCCTTGAGACTCATTCGATAATGTGGCAAGTTAGGGAGATTGGCGCTTGGAACCAAATTAATGCAATGTTGAATGGTTCTCATTGGTGGCAACTCATTAGGTAGTTCATTAGGCATCACATCCTTGAACCTTTTGACTATTGGCTTAGCCTTTGTGGTGATTTCATTTAGGCAAGAACCTTCTTTGGCTACCGAAGCATACATTACCCCTTGTTCTTTGGTTTCTTGAACAAACCTGTTCAAAGTAAGGTCAATATCTCCTTTCCCACTTTTGAGTGCAGGCTTGTAATCTTCATTGAACAGTTTCTAAACAAATTTGACCTCATCTTTCCAAAAAGCGTATATCTTGTGCTGCGCATGGTGTATGGCAGCTCGACCATATTGCCAAGGACAACCCAAAAGGATCTGGCATGCGTCCATTGGAGGCACATCACACCAAACTGAATCACTAAAATGTTTACTAATAGAAAATTAATTGAGCAATGAGAAGTTACCAGCGTCTCATTACCTTTCCAAAACCATGCTATTTTGTAGGAATGTGGGTTTTTCTCTCATGTCAACTTCAACTTGTTGACGACAACCTCTTTAGACACCATAATACCATGTCTGCGACTATTGTACGACCGGTGGCCAACCTCGTAATATTCCCATCTTGAAGATTAGTTCCAGCTTGTCGTTTCCAGAGCAGAAGTGGTTTGTTTTGTATTTGAGATTTCAATCCACTCACATACCTTGCAACGAGCTGGTCATCGCTTTCATTGACTTCTTTCCGGCTCATAATGAGGAAGAATTCATCAGTATGCACTTGGACACCCTCTTTTTGTCACAAATGATGGAATCATTGGTATAATTCTTGCCCATAACCAGAGGGTAGAAACTTATCTTTCATATGCAATTTTATTTTCCTCCAAGTTGCTATCTTTTCTTTCCCCTTTTGCACTCGACTGGTTTGCACCTGTTGCACCATATTTGGGCATGCTCCTCGAGTCGGATAGCCCCAATTTTGACTTTCCTTTCTTCCAGGAAATGTTTCCACTTGAAGAATGCCTCCACATTGTCTAACCAGTCCAAGAAATCATCAGGCTAAAATTTTCCCGAAAATTCAGGGACATCCACTCTCACTCCTTGATTTGACCCAGCTAGGGCACGAACCAACCTACCCTCCAATGAAGGGTTCCCCCTTTCGTAGTGGAAATAATTTATTCTTTCTTCACTCGATTCCTCACTTTCGTGTGTGATGGAGGGCAATTATCCTTAGATTTTATTTTTGTTCAATTTCGAAAGATGTAATTATAGTTTTACTTTTAGGGTTTATTTCTTAGGGTTTTTAGTTTTTTAGGAATTCTAGGGTTTTCATATATTTTTTATTTATTTCATGAGTACTATTCACAAGTACTATTTATGAGTACTATTTTTAGTGGTAAAACTATCATTACGAATTTTAAGTTAAGTTAGGATGTATTGGTCAATATATTATTTGTTAGGACACTTTTTGCACTTGAAACACTAAATTATAATATATGGCCTTGAGGAGTTAGTTGCACATGATTTTTAGAAATTAAAAGAGAGAAAAACTTAGGCTTTTGGAACCCTAGCTTGTAGTTTGGAGAAAAGTTCCTTTGAATTGTGCTTGTGTATGGCTTTATTTCTTGCTATTTTATTGTTCCATCAAATTTTCTTGGATCAAATTGGTATCAGAGGCCGCTATCGACATAGAAAGTACTTTAGCAATGTATGGAAATACTATAGCACTGTACGGGGATGTTACTGTAGCATCTATTTTTTGGTTCCCTAGGTAAACAACAAACTGGGGAAGTTACACTGGGGGTCTAGGGTTTGCTTATTTTGGCCTAAGTTTTGTCAAAATTACCTAGATCTTGCTGGTTTCAGCAGTTTTTTTGTTGATTATTTGTCAAAGGTTGTGATTTCGGTGAACTCATGACAACAAGAAGGGGTTGTAGAAGGAGGATTTTCGTAGTTCCACTCCGTGATCTCGTAGATGACAGATTTCGGGAACTTGAAAGGCAAGTACAGCAGTTGGCAAGCCTCAATAATGAGTAAGACGATGATCTTGCAGCCCAAGAGGATATCGAGTACAAGCTTTTTTACTTCCCCGTTCTGCTTGTGGAGTCAGGTGATGAAGATAGCGTTTGAAGACCTAGATGTGGCGAACATCACTCTGGGGTTTTCGATTTGAAGGATGAGATTATTGATTATAATACAGATTACATTGAAAATCGTCAAGTTGTAGATTGGAATTGATCACCAGTCTTCAATATATGCTCAGATGAACAACGAGATTTTCTAGGAGATCTGATCTATGATAAGAATCAAGATGATGATAAAAATATTTTGGAAGAGGGTGAAGAATAAGGAGAAAAGGCAGCAGGGGGACTGATCCAAATCAATGGGCTTTGAAAATCTCATTAATATTGAAGAGGTAGAGAATTCCAGAGATTTAGTGCATTGGAATTAGAGTAGCCAGTGGAAGTATGGTTGACTGATAAGTCATGAATTGTGGCCCTAGTTTCAGAAAGTAATGAATTAGATGAGGAGAAATCCTCTAAAGATTAGAAAATTGAGTTTGAAGTTTCCTACACTATTTTCAATGGCAGTTCAAGGATAGCTGTATTCGATAAATTTGTATTGGTTCCTCAATATATATATGAAGATCCATTTTTTGAGGAATTATGCTTACCACGAATAGTATTTGAGCCAACAATGAAAAATAAAGTTCAAGAAGGTGTTTTTGATGCTGAATTTGTCTTAGCACACTTCAAAGCTCAAGGATGAGTTTTCTTCAGCCAGAGGAGAATAAGGGAGGGAAAAATATCCTAATTTTTTATTCGTATTCAATCTCAAAGGATGTATATTATAGTTTTAGTATTATGGTTTATTTATGAGTTTTTTTTTTTAAGACTTCTAGGGTTTTTATTTTTTATTTATTTATTTCATAAGTACTATTCATAAGTCCTATTTACGAGTACTATCCATAAGGGTAAAACTATCATTACGATATTTAAATTAAGTTAGGATATATACGTCAATGTATTATTTGCTTGAACACTTTTTGTGCTTGGAACATTAAATTTTAATATATAAGAGGTGTGTAGGGCCTTGAGAGGGTTAGTTACACATGATTTTTAGAAATTGAAAGAGAGAAAAGCTTAGGCTTTTGGTTCCCAAGCTTGGGGTGTGGAGCAGAAACCCTTAGGTTTCTTTGAATTGTGCTTGTGTTTGGCTTTGTTTCTTGCTATTTTACCGTTGCCTCAAATTTTCCTATATCAGTGAGTGACCGACTCTCGATCGAGGTGGGGACCTCGACCCACCAATTGCTCCATTTCATTGAATCTCCTCAACAAGTCCTCATATTTTTCCCTTGGAGCCGCTTCCTCCTCCTCGGTCTCCACGTCTTCCTCTCTTGGCCATAATTGAAGGTCCAAACAAGAGAATTCCTACTCGAATATCACTTGACGTAGGAGAGAGAGAGGGAGAAAAGAGAGAGAAATAGCTCAAAATCAGGTAGAAAATAAGAGAAACTAATTGTGATTCAAAGACAATGAGCTGAAGCCAACAAAGCCTAGCTTCAATGCCTTGTATGTCCATGCCATATAGGATTTATAAACTCAAAATAAAAACTTAGGGCCATGCCCTATATCCTTTATTTATTATTTATTAAATTGTGCAAGTGCTTTGGACCATTAAGATCACTCACCTTCAAGCAGAAGTTGTACCCCTGTGTATTGCCTTGGAGGGGGACTATGTAAAATGTATGTCTCTTGAATCCACGCTTTTTTTTCCATGAACATAAGAAAGAAGGAATTGGTGGTTCCAGGAGGGCTGATCTGGTCTTTTTGGATTGCATTGAGCATCCTACTACAAACACTTGCTAGAAATCTTCTTCACATTGTTATCCAATTCCTCTCACTATTCTCTGCAATGGCTGAAAGCCCGGAACTTGCATATTGTGTGGGTTTGTGACCTATAATTCTTATATGATTGGAGCAAAATATGACTTTGAACAAAAATGTATCCAATTGTCTAAGAGCAGATCTTAACATGCCAATTGATATGTATGTAGGTATGTTTGTATTTGCGTATGTATGTATGTATGTATGTATGTTGTCTATGCATGCCAACAAGCATGCGTGCCTTTGCGTACATGCCTGAAAATGCATGATGATGTTCACTATGATAGCAGTGACAGCAGCCATAGCTGATATACATTTTCCCTGCGTGAAAGTCTGGTCATGTCTGCTTCTGCAGAGGAACAGCTGCATCTGCTGTCCGCTGTTGACAACGGATGGTTGATGTCACAGGTACCATTCTGGACAGTATGGTAATCTGCATCATTGTCTGCAATTCCATATTTGTATATCCAAAAATATAAGTGCACATTTATATGTATGTTTACACCAGCACATAACAACAAAAGAACAACCACAATACGTCGAAATTTTCTTGTACTGCCCTTTCTTTCAGGAATAATTATTGTGTTGGGACCGAGGATGAATATACATCACTTAGTTTCAGTTATTACTTATATTTGTCCATGTAATTTATAATATATTCTTTAGTTAAGAACATGTGATATTTTTCTTATCATATTCACTCTATAGGTGAAGGCACTGGTCTTCTCCGACTCCATAGTACTTATCGTCATGATTTGAAGATATATAGTTCGGATGAGGGTCGCGTTCAGGTATGTAACTGCTTATTTATCTCTACATATATATAGTTCAGATGAGGGTCGTGTGCTTTGTATCTTCCTTTTTCTATTTTTTTCATTTCATGGTTTGCAGCATGTATCCTGTCTAATCTAAGGGTAAGGAACTGATCCATAGTTCCCTTTGATCATTTCTTGTCATGGCTTTTGTCATGGGGATATTTCTAGTATATCCAAACCATTCGGCGCCACACCTAGCCAAAGTTGACCATGGACTAAGGCATGACGAATCTTCCATAGGCATGCACAAGTGGAATTGGTCTAAGACAGTTGCACAATCCTCACATAGGAGGGGTTCATATAGCCCTGGTACGCGCCCATGTACTCACTTTTCGGTTGCATGCCCATTTAGGTCTACACGATCCTTAATACCCCCCATCTTTATGTAGTAGTTAAAACCTCACACCCCACCGTCCATGGCCTACCCATCATGGCTCATCAAGGGGGCCTAACGGTTTGGTCAACTCACTCACAGGCCATTACTGCCCCATGCATTCCAATTCAAACATGCATGGGCATTATTATACATCCATTCTTGGTCACACAGGCCCATTACATGTGCCCCCCTCTCTTATAGAGTATGGATCTTACATAATCCGCCACCTAAGCCCCTTTCTAAGAAAGAAGAAGAGGGGCTTATATAACAATCAGACATGCCCATTACTTGTATATGATCCTTTGTGAGGGGTGTCACCGCTATGTTTCTTTGGTCTTCTATACGGAAATTGAGAAGATAAATAAGTTAAATAAGAGTACAGTCACATGGACCTACTGTATTACTATATTAAGTTTTGACTTGTGCTAATTTTAAATCTAACCTTGTTGGGGTATGTGGCCATTTAAAATCCTTATGAGAGTATGTAAAACTATGACTGTAGTGATGTGATAACTCCAATGGGAGTATGGTCTAGAGGGACCAGAAGGTTATAGTTCAGAGGGGCCAAAGTTAGCAATACTGATGCCAAGACTCACTAGACTTGACGAGCTAGGCCCTGTTGAGTTCTAAACACCCTATGATACCTGGGTATATAACACAACTGTGGATGCTTAGCAGGGTTAACTCTTGATGAAGTCTGAGATGCCTAGGGTAGTTAGCCAAAGGACTGTGTGACCCTTGTGTGTGATTGGTAGTCTTGAAGGGACAAGGGCCAAACCCTTATCATAGACCATACCACGACATGTACATATAGTAGCTGTACGGGGAAGAGAACACCATTGAGGGTGTTGCATGTACATATGTGAGAGATAGCCCCCATGCCCCAATTACGATGTGTGTGCACAGCTCTGTGTGACCTAGGCTTGTCCCTTGGGAGAACCTGTAGTTCATAGACTAGGATTGTATTTTCATCATCTATTGGCTGAGTTTGGTAGCTTAGTCATGATTATTTGTGATGGACTATGGTTATGAAAACTAGTAGGTCAGTTTGAGAAAGTGAGTGCGGGACATAGTCTTTAGTAGAGATGGAGTGCCTCAGTATTTTCCCAATTTCCTTAACAAAGTTGGACCCGATTCCATCAAATTAATTTAAAAATAATTAACTTGGTTATATATAATATTTAGATTATTAAAATAAATTTTACAAGTCTCTGGATATTTTATTTTATCAAAATATATATTTTAAATAGGCTTAAACTGCATTTTCCAGTAGTTAAATATTCAGAGAGAGTAAAATTACTTGTTGTTTTCTAAAAATCATTTATTGTTTTTAAAATTATTAAAACATATGGGGGCCCATTATACTTTATGGGCCCCACCTATCTAGCAATTTTGGGGAGTGCGTGGGGCCCACAAGTGCCCCATGGGTGGCATGCCCCACCTCCTTCATTATCCTTATATTTTAATTGGCTTGCATGAACGGCCACATATTTGATTGAAATAAAATAGGATGGTTTTGTAATAAGGCTAATTGACTTTTCATAAAAAGCATGTGTAGAGATTTAATTAAAAATAAAAGGCATGTGTATTATGTTTTCTCTACATTACACATATTTGATGGGATTACAGTGTTTTAAAATGGGGGATGCGGCTCTGATACGGTGGGGGGCCGATGCGGCCCGGATGCGGGTACATCGCCATGATGCGGTCAATAAATGTAAAAAAGTTCTAAATTTTTTTTAAAAATAAGTTAATGCATAGAAAAAAATATGAAGGTGATATATGTGATAGTAGATATTTTTGTTTAATGATTAACTTCAAAACTATTGGCTGTCGGAGATTCGGTATCCAGTTATTCACCCATATAAGTATTTCCACAGAGCAAGTATATCACACAATTTCTATCTTTTGGATTTTTTAGTTTAGCATATTTGCAAGCCGGATCCTTATAGCTAGAAGATTGGGAAGAAGACATTGCCCCAAAAATATGTATAATAGTAATATTGTACAAGAAGGACAAAAAATTTACCGACTCTGTGAAGTACTGCTCGATTTCTTCACGACCTCTGAAACCCCCAATTTGTTTTCACACAATTCACCCTAACATCTCCAAATCAACAATCAAAGGCATCCAATGAACATCCAAGTATCAAACAACTGCCAAATCGAAGATTTCGATGAAAAAACAATTCCGCCTAAATTTTTTTTACCTCGATTTGATGCAAAAAAAGAGCCACAAAAGTGGCTGAAAATCTTCGTTTAGGGCCTCTAATACTCCCCCAAACAGTTTCCTTAACATTTGGATGGTCAAAAAGATCATTTTGCCCCTCCCCGAGGAGCAAAACATAAAAAAAATTGGGCGGACACTGTAGCAGTGGGATGCGGTGCGATGCAGCCTTTGCGGGATGCAGCTACGATGCGGCGCATATGCCGCCGCATCTGTCAAAAGCGCATATGCGCTTGTTTCTTATGCGGATGTGAGCGCATCCTACATGATGCGACCGCATATGCGGCGATGCGGTCGTATTTTAAAACACTGTGGGATTAGGTTAAGGAAGCTGAGGGATAAGGTTTTAGCACCTTCTAACAGATCATGATGGCTGATTTATAGATTGTATGACTAAGATCTCTCACCCCATAGGTCTTTCGGGATGAATAGTCTTGATCAAATCTCTATAAAGATGGATAAACCCTAGAAATCCTAACTCTAACCGCAAGTCTATAAAAAATCTCTTTGGGGGTTTCTTTTCTTTACACCACATGACACCTCTCTCTCTCTCTCTATCTCTCCTCAAGGTGGTATGCTACCCTCTCTCTCATCTCCCTTTATCTTTCTTTCTCTGTCTTTGAAGCTCTCTCGATCTCTAAGGTACCCAAAGGGGCACACCCCTCGCTTTGTTAGAATACCTAGAGGGGAACACGCCCTACATAGAGGAAAGAAGAGAAATGTGCAGCCCATTGTTCCACATGCTCTTATCCATTGTAGGGTTTTAGCCTTAGCTTCCTAAAGTTTGTGAGATCTAAGAAAAGACTTTGATCCTGTGCGCCAACAGTGGAGGAGACCCGGAGAGGGGTGCATCAAGTCCAATTGAGGTAATCTTTTGGCATCTTCTTTTTCTTTACTGCAGTCTATGTTTCTTGTTCCCAAGTTAATGGGTATATGTAATATTGTAATTTTGAAGCAATAAAAGTTTTAAAGTGGCAGCAAGTGAGAATCCAAATTTGTGTTCTTATTTGTTTATTTGAGTTTATTTTTTAATCTTTGAATTTATGTTAGTGTCCTAGTCGGTTTGGAAAACGAAAAATTTTAAACTACATAAGCTGTGCTAGTTCACGTTATTCACTTTCATCATAAACAATGATTATCTTAAGCATGCTTAATATCTATGCACCATCTCTAGGGGCAATGTTATGAGAGTGATTACTGAAGACTTATTCCGCAATATATTGTATTTAAGTCTCTAAGTACTTTTTTTTTTTCCTTTTTTCCACAAAGGACATTGTTGTGGTGAGGTCTCTGACTTCATTCTCATCAAAGGGTAGGGACCCAAATCCCCATTGACATACTACTTTTTAGGAAAGGGGCTGGGGTAGAAGTGGTAGCTTCGCCACACCCAGTTACCACATCGTGGTATCCATTCCTACTGCAGATACCCCCAATTAACACTTTCAAAATGTAACTCCCTAATCTATCGAAGAAAACGGGTAGGGGGTAGGGGCCTGTCTTCCCCACTGGATTACCCAAAAAAAAATAAATATATGAAAGGTGTTGGAGGTTAGTATGGCCAAACTGTTAACATCCTATTCCTCATTTTTCTCTCACTAAGCACTTTATATCTTCATCTATTGTTTTTCTCCTCCTTTCATTATTTGCTATTGTCCTTTAACTATGTTTTGGCACTTAAATGCTCCCAGTGTTCTAGCCTTCCATGATGTTGTACATGTACCATGGACTCCATGAAGGTTTTGAGGTTGCCCATAAGCCTTCCCTTAAATGAATAATAGGTATCACATCTTCCCTGCATGTTTGTCTCCAAGACACTAATCCTACCCCTTTAGCCATCAATGCACTATCCCTGCCCACTGTCTTGGGTTCCTCTTTCATGACTTGCTCCAAGTGCTCCTCAAGTTGTGTGCCAACTAAGGCACAACTAGCCCTAGCCTTCCACAAGCATACATAAGAGGTATGGATCATGTCCACCTTCATTCCACTCTTTTGTAAATTCGTAGATGTCCCTCAAGGGTCTGGCATGGGGTATGTTTAGCCTCTGGTATGCATCGAAACAGTCACCCATCGGTTGCATGGTCATTAAGACTTATACCACCATATGCTCATCACCTGGTTTAGTAGTTACAACCCCATGGCCCCAGCAGTAATGGCCTGCTTATCATAGCTCGTTAAAGGAGGTTAATAGTTTGGTCAACCCATTCCATGTGTCAATACTATCCCACACATACTAACTCAAACATGCATGCAATTCTTTCCCCACAGGCCCATTACAGGTGCACTCACCCTCTCTTACATGACTTGATCATTACATAAGTCCTTGTCTTGGACAATTTGAATAGGACACTTGACTGTTATTGGTCAACACACATACCAATCCTAGGTTTATTCTTAGCCACGCCTCCTGCCTATGCATCATGCCTATGTCGCATTTGTGCTGACCATGGTCAACAACTATGGCTCTGCATATTGGTTTTGGTGGTCCACCAAGGCTCGTGATCTTAGCCATCCTTCCTCACCAGCTTGCCCATGGTCTAGCACCATGGGTCCATGCCTCTAGCTCACTTGTGCTTGGATGCAAATCCTCACGCACCCACGTTACTCGAGCCTCTCCTCCCACTGAAGTTCATTCTAGGCTTGAGGTACTCGCTTATGTTGGTTCATCAGTTAAAAGAGCTGGCCTGCCAAGAGTGAGAGTTGAATCCTCCAATTTTCACAAGTCCGTTACAATAATTATAGCCTTCTCTACTTTGTCCTGCACCAATGGACGTTCTGCATGTCTCACTTAATCTGCACGCGTAACATTAAGAAGGGGTTCTGTTAAATTCTCTCCAAGACGATTTATTGCCTGCTATCGCTTTGCTATGGATGAAATGGAGGTTAGCTCTCAACATTAGTTTTTATATTTTATGTTGTTGCAACTAAGCATTTGCGTTCTAACTATGCAGCTGCAATGGAATTTTGGTGGCTGTCATATTTTATAATAAATAGTGTGAATTACCAAAAGTAAAAGTGTTACTCGTCTTCTTAAGGGAAATTATAATATGGGGATTTTGGAAAAAGTTAGTGCTTTGATGTCGAGTGCAGTTATAACGAAACATTGAGCTTTCACCATTTCTCCTTCATCGATACAGAAACATAAATGTGTGTAAATACATGTCCTTACGTCCTTTGTCCATATGTGTGCATGCATGAGAATGTTTGTTATGTATAATGATGTAAGTACATTATCTTTGATGTTGTTCTAATTTTGCCTCTCGTTTTCATGAATCAATCTCTGGTGACGGTCTATATTTCAAGCATTATTACATCCTAAAATATGCTAGTTTTAAGGAATATCATGTGCATTGGTGGATTCTGACAGATGTCTGCTGCCGCTTTTGCTAAAGGTCTCCTTGATTTGGAAGGACAATTAACCCCGATTCTGGTCTGCTTTGACATTCATTTCCCTTCCAACTCGATATTGTTTCGGCAATGTGTGTTTGGTTAGTATTTAAAAGATTTTCACCGGCTGTTGCAGGTTTCACTTGTTAGTAAAGATTCTTCTATGTTAGATGGCCTTGATAATGCTAGTATCGAGATGGACGAAGCAAAGGTTGGTATGGATCTTGAATCTTACTGAGTTATGCTTCCATATGTGAATCTTTGGGAGGTCTCTTGTTCTAGTTACTCATGTGTTCTAGAAGTCACATATATGCATATACTTATTTGTCTGCATGTATGTTTGTGCATACATGCTCACAATATTTAAGCATTGAGATCTTGTTAGGTTGGTAGTGCTGAGGTGTGTTGTGTGGGAAAGGGAAATCCTTGTATGGGTTGCGTACAACATCAAAATCTTGCAGGATTGACTTAGTTCAACTTGAGATTAGGATGATTGTGATGTCATGAACGTACAAGTCAATAAATAAAATCTCAGCAAGTATAAGAGAAACAAAATAATCTTCTCATAATTAATCTATTTCAAAAGATTTGGTAAAATAGTTCAAAGATTATCTGAAGGAGAAAACTTAAGGGGGATATAATCATCTATTCTAGAGGTTGAACCTTTGAAAAATTCTTAAGTCAAAATCCTCCTCTCGTTTTGGTGAAATACTGAAAATAGAGATTCAGTTGAACTTTAATATTGGAACTCAAATTTATGAACAGCTTCCAGGGTTGCCCTGAAAATATTTTATTTTGAAAAATCTTATGTTAAAGGAGCTTATTGTACCTTCATTCCCTCGCATGAAACCCTATCTAGGAGCATTTGTAGGTACCCATATTTTGGGGATGTAACCTCCTCAACTGAGTGACAAACCTCAAAAAGGAATATTTCATATCCATGCTATATGTAACTGAAAGAATAACGTCCTAAATGAAAAGTGGTTATATGGAATTTCAGGCTATAAATTCAAAAATTTCTTCCTTTATCGTTTATTAATTGTTAGAAATTCTACTTATAGGTGCCACAAATACAATAAATTTGGCCTACTACAATCTAGGATCTTTATACACTTAGTTCCAAAATAAACTTTATTTAACTAAATACAATATTGGGACTATAAGATAGAAAAAATAAAGACAAAAACAACAGAAAATAAAAACTAAATAAGGGAAAACTTGCTGGCTTTTGCCTAGAGTTACCCCTCTAGGGCTTACAACACCCCTCACCCAATCACTTGACCAATTGCGGATCCTACTAAACTCACTAGTCTGAACTGAGAAACTTCTTTGGGACACCCTTGCTGAATTTTGGAGGTGGAAGAGAGTAACAAGCACAATTACGGTTTACTAAGAAGGCCATCTAAAAAACTTGGGCAGGAAACTGAGGCACAAAAACTTAAGCCTAGCATTGGGCTTGCCCCTCTATTTTTCTCCCTCTTTTGCTAGGTGTGCCACCCTAGACACTTAGCGATGATGCTAAGCCTATCTTAGAGAGAGAGAGGAGAGAGAGAGAGAGAGAGAGAGAGAGAGAGAGAGAGAGGAGAGAAGAAGAAGTAGAGTAGAAGGAAGTATATATAGTAGTAGTAAGTAGGTAGGTACGTACTTACTTTAACTTTAAGTTACGTA